CCAGTTGCAGTTGTATCCTATCGATTGTCACTAATTATAACTACCATTTACCAGAAATCAGCTATCACTATGAACAACTCCTAGCCAGATTTACTTGGAGGCCGTCGTCAGTTGTGATGTTTAGTCTGCACCCGACACATTCTCGCTTTTTAAAGGGAGGTTATGTGTTCTTATATTAGATGACGTTAACGCCTACGAAAAGTAATATTCAATTAGTCAGCAGGTTAGGACTCAGCCTAGGATGTGGGGAGGGAGTCCCCCTGGGAAAAACGAAGACTGCTCAGGGACCTGGGGGCTCCCTCCCTTCTGCTTAGACCTGAAGGTTTGCAATAAAACAATAAGCTTTCCGCGGTTTTGAATGCCCTAGATCGCAATACCGCCCCCCCCCTTTCGACGGATGAAACCCTTCTTCTCCTCTGAAAAATGTTATAGCCGCTTGGAAGTAGGTCACGATTTTCAACTTCTGCTCAAGTGTATAACGCGCCCCATGGTCGACGTACGCGTTGCAACAGCACTCACATTTCTCAATGTGCCATCCTTACATAGAGAAATATTGCATCTAGCAACCCTGTCTGCTATTTGAATAATTTTCGCGGCCTCGCTTAACTCTGCCCTCCCCTTTATTCATAGGCGAACCTCATCCTGCGTTGAAATCCCTTTGGCTTTATGCGCCAAGAAGTCCCGAGTACTGTTATGAGCGCTGAGCAAGAGTCAGGTTTCCCCTAGCAGAGATGAGCTCTTGACGAAATCATTATGTATGTCCGATGAAAATTCTCATTATGACAATCATCTTGGGAAACGCTGTGATGAGCTGACTAACGAGGGTACTAGACAAAGCGCTGAATGTAATCGACTGCTCGCGTACATCAAGCGCGAGCTTGATAAGGAAAAAGCTTGAGAACCTTTATGGAACGAGGTTCGACGAACGATGAGGGAGAAAGCCCAAGAAGCTTGAGTGCTGACTGCATAGCATGGCGCTGGATACGCAGCCAACCGCGTATCGATCGAGCATGCTGGTGGCGCTCGCGTGCGCCTCCTTCCTCATATGCATGTACATGTGCATGTTTATGTGGTAAACGTCTGTGGGCTTGTTTTTTTAGTATTTTTTTCTCAATTTTGCTCAATTGGTTCCTTGTTCTATTTTTCTCTGCTCAAGAATGGCAAAAACGTCAGGCGTTTTCATGAGGTTGTGATGACAAATTCCGAAGGGAATGGTTCATCTCGGTGGTGACTGGACATATTTCGCAATTTTACCGCATTTTCTGGAAGATAAGCGCTTTCGATTGTTGGACGACCATCGTGTATAGTTTTCTTCATGATGAAATTCCTCGATCGGTCGTCCTGAACAGGTTTCTGTGAGCTTTTTGTTGTAGAAATAGTGTATTGACTATCCGCTGGTGAAATGTGCTTTTAAATAACACGAATCAACCAATAAATTTATTGACTTCATATATAATTGAACCATTTCGTTAGTAGCACCAAACAAGTCAAGCTCATGTTGCCATGGCCAACATTTAGGGGCCGTATTCCTTCCTCCAAGCTAGGGGAACGGAAAAATCCTTTCAAATTTTCTTTGTCTTTTCAACAAAAATCGCTCTGAGTGTAGTGCAGTGCATATTTGTAATGTGTGTAAAACGTAATGTCTGCAAAAGCAAGCATGTTAGGAAAGTAAAGGAATTGGTTCTTTGAAAAATAAATTCAAAGAACTTGTTCCTCTAGCCTGGGGAAGGATAGGGTACGGCCCAAATCCCCAAGCTGGTTCTTGAGCTTAGGGCAAGCTCAGTGTCACGGAAAATTCCCAAATACGCCTCCTCTCCATGATCACTGCACTTGAGCAATATCTCATGCAGCGAAGGTGGAACCTAAAGAAGAATGGATTGGTTGTTATTTTTTAACACTTTGCGTCCCGCGTGCGCCACCATGTGGGACACGATTTTAAGCGGTGGATCACATTTTAACTGATTTATTTGGCATTTTTCAATGCTCCTGAATGCTTCCACTGGTTTCCTGAACCAAGAAACAAGTAAGTATCATCACTGATAAAATTGTTGATAGATTAATGATGATTCGCTTTTAAAAAACATGAAAAGGTATGGAGATCCTCGGCGGTCCGTAATGTGTGAATATTCTCGCTCTCCAATGACCAAAGTCATATCTCCGCCTCATATGGGCTAAAGTTTCTTAGAAAAGGTTAGTTTTTTGCAAAAGGATGAAGCAGAATTTCAAGCTGTTGGCTTGTGCTTCAAAAATGTACCAATTATACTGTCAGTCGAAAATGACATCTTTTGTAACCAACACGAAAAAGTTCTGGTCGTGCCCAATTTTACCCTTTATTGGTCTTCACATTTAGTCCACAAGGCATCCTTTTGCAAGACAAAAACCGGGGCGCTATGTGAGTCGGGTGGGCACGCCGATTTTTGTAGTCAATTACCCCAAATATTTCACCTACCTCTTACCTCGGGATTCTTCCTTTACTAAGGCTAGCTCCAGGAAATCCTTTTATTTAGGCCAAACTAGGAAATCCTTTTACTCAGGTTAGCTTTAGAAAAAAAGACGAGCTCCAGGGTGGGGATGACCCAGGTTCTACAAAAATCATTTGTCTGGTCACTTCCACACTAGTTATCAAGGAGCTCGAAGCTTCTCATAATTGTAGTGTTGGTTTACTCTTACTGGTACCTATTTCGAAATATTTTGCCCTTCTTGACGTAATAATGAAGTTAATTTAGTCTGAAATAAGTTGGGCCCATTCCATGTTTTCGGAAAGGGTAATTCAAGTTCTTTCTTTGACTGAAGTAGGCACGTGATTTTGTTACGGGTATATTATTGCGTTGCGGTAAAGAAGTCATCATTTCGTAAGGAAAGGTTTATCATTCCTTCACCATTTATGCCTCCTTCTCCTGATCATGAGGGTCGTTTTTGTACAGTTCCTCTACTTTACGGACACTTAATATGTAGTCGAACACCCAGAAGGCGCGCACTGAGCGCACTAATTAGGCTTCAATTTTCTGTTTTTGTTTACGCGTATTTTTAGGGTTACGGTAGCAACTGTAGGAGGAACGTGTTTAGATTTTTACTGTACCCAGGCTGTCGCATAGGCCCATAATGACGGACCAGATCTTAGTTGGTGGAAATGAGACAATTGAGGCGGGTTAAAACAAGTGTTTATGTGACCTAATTTTTCCAGCGATAGTGGCTTAACTTTATATTTTACGCAAGATTGACCTCAGCATAAAAGACTTCTGCCCAGGGTGAATATCGCTTGAGGATTCCTCAACGGCACGTCGAGGATTCTCTGCCCGATCAGACACGATCTCTCGCGCGGACATTCACACTCGCCATGTGCGTGCCGTCTGTGCCCTCTGCGCGGATGTTCACCCTCGGCACTACTCTCACATGGTAGAGAGCTATGGTCGAGGAAATCCTCGACCGTTATTCACCCTGCTTCTGCCTAACCATCCGCCGCCTATAGCGCAAGAACGTTTTGGTCCAGATTCCTGGTCTAACTTAATGGGCTGCTTCTATACTTGCTGATATGTGCTTTCATTTCTATATTTTGTTAGCAGCACTGACGAAAAGCTGCCAATTAGCAGTTGTAATGGTCGCGAAATCTGAGGTAATATGTGTACAGCACTTTAGTTTACGCGTGTTTTAGGGCTATGGTAACAATGTTACCATACTGACGTTTTCTTATAGTGCCCTTGCGCTTATTACCCCTCCAATTCCAGCGATCAAGTATGGCTCTGCTCGTCACGGATTCACACGCTTGACCCTGCTTTCGCTGGCTGCGAAGCCAGATCCTTGTTATCAAGTTTCGTCGTCTTATCCCGATTACCTATCTCGGCGATCAAGGAATCGATTCATTTAGGGATATTCTGTCAGCCGCGCTCGCAATGCTTACTGTCGCCATATTCGAAGTGCTTATCGGTGATCCTTCCTTATCTGTTCATGATAGTTGTTCTCAGTTTCCCTTAGTGTTTCTGGCTATTTACCGCGGTATAAGGGCATCCGCTAGATGCCCTTGTGTATGAGGCTGTTTTTGCTCTGCACAGATAATTTTCACTCAGTTCAGGAACTTTAGGAAAACTAGAAACAATATACTCGAAATAAGTGGTGAGGCATGTGGTAGAACGGGTGTATATCAGTTCTCCTCCTGAGCTCTTGTCACCTCAGATCAGGATACGTCTTTTGCTCGCAACCAGCATAATCCTGAGCTCAAACCTAATGCTAGGCTTAAGCTTAAGCAACGTTTAATGGACCCGGGGCTAGGCCTAATCTTAGCTTAACCGATGGTGGTTGAATGGCGTCTTTTCATGATTCTACTTGTTTCATATTCAGTGTTTCAAATGTTCAAAGGTTTACGGACTACTTGAACTTTCTTCCATGATCCTGCCACGAATGGCGGAGAGCACAGACAGTCAGAGAAAGGCACCTGGCCCGGCTTCAAATCCCATGGAAGGAGGTGTGGCACCCAAGACTAAGCCTTGTAGGAGGGAGGGACTTCGAGATAATTGAGCCAACTACAGTGTGTCAAAAGCTTGAATGCGTGAGATCACAATAATCAGAAGCCGCTGATAAGGTGAGAAAGCGCAGACGAGAGATGGATCTGAGGCGGCTTAAAGGACTGGGTTCAAGTAGTCCGTCAACCATATAAATGGCAGCTGTTTGCAGGTTTTGTATACTTTTCTAATGAAGCGTTTTCATTGATTGCGCTGTAGCCATAAACCTTCGTCGTGTTAGCGCACATTGGGCTGCGTTCCCTCCTCCGCGATAATATTATTACCAGGCTGCCTTGAATCTGGCCTCGATGTTGAGAAAATCTCATTTCTTCAGTGTCTTATCAATTTAAGAGATAGCTTTTACCACATGCAACTGATCTGCAATTGTCTTCATCATCATTTTTGATTTCATGATTTTTACGTGCTTATTGTCTGACACGTTCCAATTTAGTTTGCTGCTATGTCTTTTGTGACCTCATTTGCCATTGTTTCAGATGAACTAGCATGGCCGAAAACATCACTCAGGGTAACACATTTATCCGTTCGGCTACAGCCCAAGGGCTTGCTGGTCTTTTTACTTGGGCAGCTCTTCTTATTACCAGTCACCAGGTATTTATCAGTGCCTTGTTTTTATTTATGAGTTAATCAAAGGTTAATTCGAGGTATACCGAAACGGTATTTTCCGGCATTAATTCATGTATGTTAAGCTTAAAAAGCTTGCTGTCAAACCTGAAACGTTTGGATTTACTTGTTTGATGCATTCTGTGACTGGCCGATGTCAGACTTTGCGATTGGAGCGATTTTGCACCAATTGCAGGAGCGACGGATCGCTTGAGCGATGCGAGCGACGGGAGATTTACGAACTGATGGCGCCGAATTATCGGTAGTCGGCGGTGTAAATTTCCCGTCGTACTCCCCTCGATAGTTGGGCCCTTGCGATTCATATTTAACTTGAGTTTTGTTCGAGCTGAGGTTCCTAGGAGATGGAGGCTCTCTTATGTGGTTCCCATCCCCAAGAAACCTCCATATTCGGACGCAAACAATTACAGACCGGTCAGCATCACTTCGGTTTTCTGTAGAGCTTTCGAAAGAGTAGTCAAGAGGGTCGTCGTAGAACACCTTGAACGTCAGCGGATCTTACCCGACTGCCAGCATGGCTTTAGGAAAGCGAGATCGACGGTTACTCAGTTGCTGGAATCTTTAAATGATTGGACAACCTCATTAGAAAAGAAGAAAAACGTTGATGTGGTTTATTTTGACTTTTGTAAAGATCGCGATCGCTCCATCGCTTGGTCCGTCGCCGACTATGACGTCGGTCATAGCGTGCTGTACTACGTCTAAAGAGGAACGCTACTGTCTATCCTGCGTAGTCGCTTACGAATACTCTTGGGTCCCCTATTGTCCCCAAGTTGCGCTTTCTTGTATCAAGCCCACCTACTCAAGGGTACGCTTTGTTCGCTGTGAGGGAGTCTCCGCAACTCCAGGCATGGTCAGCTAAACGCAAAAATCGCCCACATTTATCATATCAATATAATCCCGGTGCAGGACTTCCCGCCCTGACTCACTTGTCCATGCGCTATGAAACTACACGAATTTATCCATTTTTCGGTGTCTGAGTTGTTCTGGGACTGAATTACGAGCTTTTGAAACGTGTGTCGCTCATTTCTGGGAATGCCTTGCACACCATGCCTGCTCACCCAGTTTGTGCGTCCTACCTACATTTTCATAATGCCGCACCCACTTCAGCCTTGATTTGACCTTCATAGGTGGTCTGTCAAGTAACGCTGAAATTCTTGACGAATTGAACCGTGGGAATTTTTCTTATTTTCTCTGACATATAAACAGATCATAATACGTCTTGCATATTCATGTTACTGTTGCAGATTTATCAACATCTACGCTGGTATTCCTGTCCTACGGAGCAGAGATGGATCGTGCGTATTCTGTTCATCGTTCCAATTTATGCATTTGATTCGTGGCTGAGTCTCATATTCTTCTCCGACAACGTGTACATTTACTTCAATTCTATTAGGGACTGTTACGAAGGTTTGTCGCTGTTGAGGTGGTTGTGGTGGCTTTGTACCTCTTCGGGTCGAAGAACTGATGCTGTAGTGCACTGCCCTACAATTGTTATGTCATTTCATCTTAACCGGAAGTGGTAAGGGAACTCTGACCTCGTCTGAAAACCTTGTGATGTGGCATTGTTTTAAAATTTTGTCCAAATATGAAAATGTAGGTTAAGGTTCCCAGTGGACGGAAATGAACGCAACTCGCAGATCAATTCGTGTATACTGAGCTAGCTCACAGGCGGAATAGTGCCCTAATAACGGCTCCTTGGTTGGCCTAAGTACTCAAAAAACAGGAAGCTAACTGTTGAAAAATTAACAAGTTTCCACGTTATTTTAAAAACTTGGTAATACCTCTCACTTGTGGAAACGGTCACTGACGACCTGGGGCTGTTAAAGTGAGAGTGCAAGAGAATGAAGAAGTAAACGTAAATATCCTCAACAAACGCTCGCTGACATTGCGAAAACTTCATTGTGGTGAATTGTGGATTTGTTACGATTAAAGCAGCCTGAAGTAAGCAGTGAGCATGGTCGACTTCTCAGTGACTTTTTTGCAACCTTTGTCTATTTCTTAACGAGGGTTCGAGGAGTTCTGGCGCTCAAATCCCGTAGCAGGTGCGATTACTGATTTGAATTGTATTGCAACTGATAAAAAAATCGTGTTGCTCGATTCTTGGGAGGAGTGGGTGTGCGAGGGCTTTTCGGTCTGAGAGAGTAGTGTTCTATTATTAGGCTTCTTTACAATTTTATTTAGGATTTGCTTTAGTGCTGTTTTTCGTCGCAGTTTACAACGCAAACGTTATCACAGAAATGGTGACCTAGAAGTTGGGCAAAAGACTGCTTCAACAGGGATTCGAACCCTCTTGTTCACCGTAATCTGCTATAATATTGATACCACACTTTTTCGGAACTGAGGTCCTACCATTGCAGCGGTAGCATTCTGGCCCAGAAAACACTAGGCCGGCTTTCCCTTTCCCACTCGAGGCAAAATGTTTTGTCCGTTATCCAGCATCCATGAACTATTTTATGGTCTTTTTGCCATTTTTGCTGCTTTGATAACCGTTCTCGAATGCTTTTTTTTTCTGGGATCAACAGTTACATTTTATTCTTCTTGAGCATGGATTAGATGGGTACGCTGTGGACTTTTTTGTATACCGAATTCTGTGCCAGGGGAGAATAATTACTGACTTCGTCAAAATTCTGCCTCAAAAGGAGCATGAAATGGTGCACATTGTAGGCGATAGGTAAATATTCATTTTCAGCATTCGTAATTTATTCGTTTTTGTCACTGTGTTATGAGTATCTCGGTGGAGAAAGCAATATCATGGCGGAAATTCGTGGAAAGCCAATAAAGTAAGTTCAGGATGCCCGTTCCATTGTTTTTTTCTTAATCAATTTCTTGGTAGTCTCCTTGAATAATTTGTTTCTTCGAGTCTTCTGCGATCCCAATGTTTTTCAAATAAATTTCTAGCATTTCCGTACTTGACTGAAAAACTGAGAAAAATTTACTGCTACGGTGTGTGCTGTATGCATCAGCTATTTCTCGTAAAACAACTTTCTGAATCAGCGGTCTGTGGTGACACTCTCATCCAGCTCCCGATTTTGAAATTTGAAATACCTATCGTTGGTGGTTACTGGGGTTATTGGTCAACTCGTTGTTACCCGACTGGCTAAGGCCGATGTCAGACTTTGCGAATCCAGCGATTCGCTTGCGAAACGCTGGTTGCGAGCGTTGCAGCAGCGAATCGAGCTGTGTACCGGCGGATCAAACGATGTACTAGCGACTCAACATTTTTGAAGTGGTGGACCTCCCTCTTGTTTATACGTTGATTCTCGCTACTTTCTCTAACTCTCATACTCTCCCTCACGCTCACTCTCTCACGCTCTCATGAGCCTGGGAAATGGCGAGAGCCGATTTTCAAATTGAGTCCCGCCTTTTTCTATCCCGATCCACTGGTACATCGTTCGATCCTCTGGTACATCGCTCGATCCTGTTGCACATAGTTCGATCCGCGGGTACACAGCTCGATCGCTGATTTCGCGAAGTCTGACATCGACCCAATTGCGGTCAATTCCTGACCATTTGATGCCGCCTGTATTCCATGAAACAGAGCCTAAGAGTCACCTTGAATAGAATGTGATTTCTCCTTCTTCATTTTGCATTGTTATCCTTATTTTATTTAGACCTATAAGTTACTACACATGCACGTGCTGTCTCGCTGGTAAACAATACACAATCGAATTTCTGCGTTTTTGCAAACAGGCAAGAATTTCATTCCGTTTCCATGTTGTCATGCCTCTTCTCGATTCCTCAAAAAATTGTTTTAGGCCACATTACAATTTTGTTTCATCAAACCGATTATGGCGGTGCTAACATTGTTTCTAGTTGGAATGGGAAAATATGAAGACGGCAATTGGAGGTATGGTCATATTGTGTTTAACATATGCTTTTTCATCTGACATTGTTTTTCTTTTGTTTTTCTTTGCTTGTTCGATTTTATTCCTTTGTATTTTAATTTTCATTTAGTGCGGACCAAGGGTATCTATATATCACTCTTGTGTACAACGTTTCCATATCTCTTGCTTTATACGGTCTATTTCTTTTCTATACTGCTACACGTGAACTTCTCAGTCCCTATAGCCCAGTACTAAAGTTCCTTACAGTAAAAAGCGTGATCTTTTTGTCGTTTTGGCAAGGTATGTTCTAGAAGTCAGGAATTATCCACTTATTCTTGAAAGTAATTTATTTTTAGGATTTCTTATTGCAATTCTTGGTGCTACGTCAGCTATTGATCCTGTAGTGGACGCTAATGGTCACGAAGTCATAGGAAGAGGTGGGTGTATTGATATAAAAATCCGATTTTTTTTTGAAATTTTGGAAAAATGACACATGTACCAAAGCACTTGAGGCTCACGTAAGGCATGAGCGGAGGCAAGTGGGCCTACTGAAAATGCGTAGAGTTTACTGTAATGTGCTCAGGAGCACCTATTGAAAAGGGTGGTGTATTCAAACACTCAATCTGTTTCCTCTAGTGAAAATGTCGTAATTGCACACCCAGCGACAGGTGTAGCGATACCCTCACATGTGAGTTTCGCCTGGACTTTTATTGCAACGTATTCGGTTGGGGACTCAAGCAGAAATGAAGTTTTTTTCACACACAAGTCCAGCTGCATTCACTGCCCGCCTTTACCTTGAAAAAATTAATTGGTATATTGATTGGTCTCGAGTATTGAATTGATGAAGTTTTCGGAAATGTGGTAGCGTAAAATCAAACGCAGTTATTATGGTTAGAGGTTGAATGAGGTAAAGTGTTTGTTGAGATCCTCGGAGATTCCAAATGCGTCACGATTCTATTGTTTGAAAATATCTGAGGCAACCCTGGCTAATTAGCTAATTGGCCGATTTTTTAGGGACTGTCGCAGCTGGATATCAGAATTTCCTCATTTGCATCGAGATGTTCTTTGCAGCCATCGCCCTGAAGTTTGCGTTTGGTGTTTCTGCTTACTCGGATGCCCACTCCGGTATGATAATTTTGTAGTTATTCATATCAGAATCTTTTCTCTCTTATGACACTGATCGAGCAGACGTTTAAAAGTTTTTACTATTAAAATTCTGTGTCGAAATGTTGATGGCGGGTCTCTGTGTGACACTGTTTATTCACGGGAAGCGTTCCTTTAAACAGGTCAACAGGTCAGTCTGTATTAGGTAAGGTGTGAGTCATTGTAGCCGTCTTGGAACGATGAGCTGCATTGCTTTCAGTATCTGCTAATAAGGCTTGGGACCATATGAAGGGTTTTTCATCCACCGTTTTGCATTGTCCTCAACTCCTCGCAAGGCGTTTCTAGGCAAATACTGATGCAGCGATGAAGTTAAAAGTCTTTTTGGCAATTGTCAAGAGAGGCAAAAAGCAGTCTCAATAGGGAGTCGATCTAACGACTTTCTGCCTGGGAACTCGGACCACTACTACTGCGCATTTCCGCATTTTTATCACTCTATGGTAATCTTTAAGCAGGTAAAAAGCAGTTCTAAGTTCGGCGTATGAAGACGACTGCAAGGTATACACCTTTTTCCAAATGAGCGGAGCGACCTGTTGACTTTTCCGTAGTAAAGATGTTGCTGCGGAAAATTGCCCCCTCCCTCACCCCCCCCCCCTTCATCGACTTTAGCGTAGCCTGTGCAACATCCCTTTTTCCACAAGGGGCGAAAACTCGGGAGAGAATATTGAAGTTATGTTTTGCTTACTACTGTAACTAGTAATGAATGGCGTCATCCATTGGGCGTAATTGGAAATTGGACGCTTTCTAGTTTTTAGAAACTTTCTAGGCTTCAAGAAGTATTAGATTAGAGGTACGTATGCGAAGAAAACGTGCCTCCATCTTCAATAAAAATCGATACTTCAGAGACCGCGCTTTAGAGGAGAGCAAAGAGAAGGATACGCTAGCACTGTTTCTGTGGTAGCATAAGCATAAATTGAATTTTGCCGAAACATGTCACGGCTATTGGTTTTGGGAAAACAATGCATATAGACATGTTGAACGCGTAAATAAAGGAGTTTCAGGTTAGATATCCTCGACACTGCGGTGCAGCGTTACCTTACGTTGTCCGAAAAGCCCCTTTGAGCCAGCCCATTTTACTGGTAGACATCTAGGAGATTTGCTTCTCCAAAAATTGTTTCTCTCAAAATTTCAGTGTTTTGCTTGACAATTTGCACCTGGTCTCCTTAGAGCCCACACAGTGCTTTTACACGATGAAGAAGGGTCAGGTTTTCAGTATTTGATGCCTTCAAGCTCGAATCTGAGCATTATCCGTGCACCTTTTATATTATCAAAGACCGTAACGTTCCTTCAAAAGCAGATTTGCAGAACAAAAGCGTTTGGAAATTGGGAGGGATTTTTCTTGAACGCTTCGAATATGTGTATTTCACAATAAGTTTATATAGAAGTTTATTTTTTTTTGCAAAGCTAAGGGGGGAATGTCTTCCGACTGTGAAAGGTGGATCTTTGCGCATAGTTTGTCCGGGATCCCAATCCACTCATCCACATCTTTCAGGTTCAGAGGTGATTCTGCGCATACGAACTCTCTTTATCCGGGGAGATAAATACCACCCTTCTCCACCCCGTATCAAATTTGTTTGCCTCATTTGAGTGCCCTTTACTAAAGCTTTATTAGGCTCAGCTTTCTGTCTGGAGGGTGAGTCATGAAGTTTTTAACGGTAGAATTTCTCTAGTGTTACAAAACGGGAAAATCATGAAGTGATAATTTTTGCAAGAAGACTCACCAGTTAAAGGAAATTCAATGTGAAACTACTTTCAGTACAAATCAAAAAAAAAAACAGTTTAAGGGGCAGAGTAAGTCAAAGAGTAGTCCAAATTTCGCTTCCTTCGAATTGATTTCTGCGATGCCTTCACGAATTCGCCGTCCGACAGCAGTGGCTATCTACGCATCCATCATATTTACTTGAGCGCGTACTTTCAAATTGTGTGGGGTTTTATATAAATCATATTGATGATTTCATGATATTTCATCTAGGAAAACAGTTTTGAGGAAAGTAAATAATAAATTGTTCAATTACATATTGTTGCATGCTTTTAGAAGCCGTTTGCTCTAGATGAGTAGTGTATAGCCTCAAGCCAACAAAATAATCCAAAGTTGAAAAGATTGCTTGTTCCGTTCCATCTTCAAAAGGATATTCGTAGTTTCTTCGATCTTCAAAGCTCGTCGCTGATTTGGAATTGACTAATTAAAGACGGGGTGGAGACGAAAAACGATGAAATTGACACTAATCAATCATGTTGAGGAGCGTGCAGTCAAATTGAAAGGGTAGCTATTAACATTGGGAAGTGCTGTAGAAAAGGAACGAGGTATGCAAAACACATAAAACCAAAACGGGGAATATTTGTTAGTGGCTTGATCAAAATTAGGTGGGCCTCTGATCTGTTCTAAAAGTGGGACTTTTCTGTTCCCTCTCCTCGGAAGTTGTCAAATTAGTTGAGCTTGCTTGTATAAGGCTTGAAAAGTCTTCTCCAATAATCACGGTCAACCCACATGTTTTAATGAAAGCTGGAGATCCCATGGATGGCACTTTCAAACGAGGGTTTACACTACTTAGTTCGAATTTATTTTTCTGGAAAAATCGAGAATTATTGTTCAATATTCGATCTAATCACTTACTTAATAGTCTCCGTTGTTTTAGTTAGTCACTCGAACGATGGACGCCCAGTAACATTGCAGTCAATCAGTTCATCGCTGAAAGAAACGATGAATCCGAAGGACATCATGCAGGATGCTATTCACAACTTCCATCCTCAGTATCAACAATACACACAGGTTCACAATTTAGCTCATTCTTTTCTAGTAAAATCGAGTATTATTTGATATTCGATCCAAGTTTTATGCTATTTACATATTTTTATATATTTTTTTTACTACCTATTTGAGAAAGACGGCTCAGACGGCGGAATTGTTTTTATGAATTGATTGAGCTTATCGTGAGACTTTACAAATAACTTATAGCGATGAATGGTAGCAAAATGAGTCATATGGCAGCACTGCTTGATCTGATCCTGCCTTAAGATACGTAGTTGAAATTAAAGCGGGATTCGCGAACTATTAATGTAGTTCTATATGCTCTATCCACTTCTATGAAAGAACCAGATTACTGATATGCTTGCGCTTTTAGCGACCACCCTTGCGCACCTTTTTTTCTTACAGTAGAAGCATTTATGTGGCGTATCCCATATTTGAGGCATCTTCGAGTTTAAACTTTTCAACTCAACTTCTCATTCGATGCATCTCCCTCCAGTGTGGCGGGACCATTTGTCACAATTTTCGTTTCAAATTTTTCCCTTGATTGATGACATTGGTTCGAATAGTTTGTTTTGGTTTCACTGCGCAACCAGTGGTGTGTCTGGTTTCCGGAGGTGCACTACGATTTTCCCAGTTGAGGTGGTCCAGCTCTAATGATGCAGGCTATGCGGGGCGTTTATTTCAGTGCTGCGGAGACTTTCTGTCAGTGTTAATAAGCTTTTGTGAGATTGTTTGATTGATGTTCCTTATGCTTTCATCGAAGCGGTTCGGCCTCTTGAAGGTGTCTCGCGAAAGTTGCGATGGCGCCCTCGCCTATCCAGTGAATCGCCCGCTTGCAGCTAGTCAGCAATGTTTTCGTTAAGCTTTTCTTCCGCGGTGGACATTATAGCGACATTTTGCGTATTTGGATGCGCGTTTCTACAAGACAAGATCGAAAAAGGCGGTTTCCAGTGGTCCACGGTGATCATCTGGTAGTGTGCCTTTGAGGTCGCGCCATAGGTTGATAGAGGCGGCCGACTGGATGGCACTCGGTGTGATGTCTTTTACAGAACCCCATCTGTCGCCAACTACGGCGCCTTCTTTGTTAACATTAAAATCGCTATACATCGTGGAATGCAAGTTGGTGAATTGGTTGATAGGGAGGCATAGATGGATTAGAGACCCATTTTCATCCAAAGAATGTTACTCTATTCCTCCGCACCCAGTTCCACGGCTTGTTCAGGAGAAAGGTCACATGAATAACTTTACTTTTTCGCAAGCCCGTCCTCATCTGGCTTTTCAGCATCTTGACGAAGCATCTTTATGAGGCAAAATGTTCCTTACCAGGAGAATAACGTGGTGTAGAACGGTTTCCGATATTTGAATCCTGCTGAACGCAACTTGTTTCTTTTTGGCGTATTAGAGTTAGCAGGCTGCAAAAGTGGTTCCATAGGTGTTTTTGTTGAGGAACATGCATCTGTCAATGTGTTAGTCTTTCCACATGTCTTCGTGCGCAAGTCGGCTTTCAGTTCTCACTTAGTTACACTTGCTCCGAACCATTAAAACTAAAGACCTAATGGTAGCAGGAGCATGAATGCTCAGCAGTTAATGTTACATATACTTTCTATTCGATTTTGTGTCTAATATTGTATTGAGATCGTGGTTATCTTTTTCAGCATTCGAATCCGCAACGCTCGGTCAGTGGTAACCTGGAACCAGGTTTTTAGTTTACTTTATTCATTCCATTTTCTTGAAACTCGTGGGAAAAGGAATGCTCTCACACTGGATGTGGAAAATAGCAAGTAGATTGAACCAATTGCATGAAATCCTCTTCTACTTACTGTTTCCCCTAGTGTTGCGTTCGAAGTCTCCAGATTACTTTTGCTGTATTGATAGTTGTTTTTGTTGTTGTGTCGTGGTTAGCGGATGTTGGCTTAAGGGTCTGGCAAGCACCAACGAGAGGTCGGAGAACGATTTGGCTCACAAGCGGACTACATCCCACTCAGAAACTCAGCAGGCGACTCTGGATCAATGGCCCTTCCTGACTCTGTACCAGCAGCGGTCTGTCTACAATCCGTTGCTTTGAACAGGAATCAACTCGTCGACCACAAGCTTTCGCCCGTGCGTTGCCCATCCTGGCAGGAATTTGTTTCTTTAACCTTGCGAGTCGATTTGTGAATTGTGTCGTGGATTTGTTCGGAATGTAGTGCCGACATACCCAAGTACAAGGTGATTGCGAAAATTCTGGGGTGTTTAGATCCTGTAAACCTTCATGCCACTTCTTTCTTTTTAGCTCACATTTTATAATAGTGCACTTCTAAAATTTCGAAAATATGAACCATTTTTCATATTCGATACTCCCTTATAATGGCGCGGCCGACTACTTGTTCGTTTGTGTATCGCAAAGTCTATGGGTGCCCTGTAGTGTTTGTCATTTATCATTTTGTCGCTCACTTTCATAATAGTGATGCTCCAACATATAGTTAGTTGTTTTTCGACGCTAATGGAAGAGAATTTTCCATATATTAATCTAAGCTAAGTGAATATTTATGGCAAATCGTCGCTACTACCGATTCACGCGATTCGCTAGCGTGCGCGGTCGCGTTGCGGTACCAGACCTATTGAGTGATTCACTGACCGCGACGCGACCGCAGACGCTAGCGATTCGCCAAGTCTGACATCGGCCTAACGGACAGTTTGACTTATGCTTCTAGTAGAGGACATCATGCTACTAATGCGATTTTGGGATACACCATGCGCTCGTATTCTGTTTGAAGTGGCTGTAAGAATTTATTAGTAACCTCCAAAGATTGGGTAGCATTATATCAACGTGGAGGCATGGAAGAAGAGGTTGCCTTTTGACGTTGGTTTGAATATGCACTCAAATGATATTTTCTGCATTTGCTCCGAATCCCTTGCACTAATGTGGAAGTTACAAAGGGAGTATCCTGACGGGTCCGTCCTCTGGTTGGCAAATTCTCATGTTCACGGCCAGGGTGAATATCGCTTGAGGAGTCCTCAACGGCACGGCGAGGATTCTGTGCCCGATCAGACACGATCTCTCGCGCAGACATTCACACTCGCCATACGCGTGCCGTCTGTGCCCTCCGCGCGGATGTTCACTCTCGGCACTACTCTCGCATGGTAGAGGGCTATGGTCGAGGAAATCTTCGACCGTTATTCATCCTGTATACGGCCCATGGGGACAGAGAGGGGAGGTGAGTTGTAAACGCAGTGGCCAGCAGCAGAAAACGCAGCTATCCATTGATTTGTGAGCTCAGGAGAGGAGCTTCAATTAATGTACATGTAGGGTAGCGCAACGAGGCTCAGGCGCATAAAATAGGTACTAGTAGGACTAGTTGGCAATAGCAGACGCATCTGAAAATCTTTTCTCCTTTATTTTTCCTGCAAGATGTTTAGATGATGCAAACTTTTGCATTTTGTTTCATTAGTTTACTGGAAGCTTTTACATGTTTTTTTTTGTAAGCAGCAATTCCCCCGTGTCTTACGATAGCTATTTTTTGTATTTATTCTACAGAAAAAAACCTTGATAATGTTACAAAGCAGTGGCCAACAAATTGGCCAGTTATGCTTCACTGTATCAGACGTTTCTTGAGCCTTACGAAATTTTTCGGTTCATCTTTCGTTTCATTTTTGCTTATGTTTTTTTCAACATTCAAGAAAAAAGAGAAGTAGAAGTAAATACAGATCTCATTAGGTGGCAAGTTGTGCATTTTGATCGAACCAATTGAGGCAAAATCTTTTTGGCGTCCATTCCACTCAGGTCCAACAAATTTTGCTTTGTCATGGCCATGACTTCGAAACAGGGTCGGTCCTACGTTGCTACAAGTAGCAACGGGGGGTCGTACTTTGATGAGTTTTTAGAGGGGGGGTCGTACATTTTGATGAGTTTGTAGAGGGGGGTCGTATATTTTGATGAGGTTGTAGAGGGGGGGGTCGTACTTGCTTCGATTGTGAGAAGTTGCATGAGGTGAGGGAGGAGTGGCGCGGGAGAAAATTTGCCGTTTCAGTGCGCGTATATACCCCCTAGAAAATGAAGCGTGGGATTAAAGGTAGGAGGGGGTAAATTGGTGGAAATTTAGGTAATTTTTACGGTTTCAGAGTGACTATATATCCCTCCCCCGCTCCCCGCTCGACGGCATTTTTGGAGGAGAGAGTGGGCGGGGTTTTCGTGGGTCGAGTGATACCAGAATGAAATACTATAGCGAGGAATATGGTGGTCGAGGGTGAGAAGGGGGTCGTACCAAATCCACCTTTGGAAATTTTTCGAAAAGTAGCAACGATAGGACCGACCCTGCTTCGAAAGTCCACTATTATACCTCAAATAACTTCTACGCAAAGGAATTTTTTGTGTATTCACCACTCAAATCCACGTAACCGATGTGTGGTGGCTGCCCCCGCAAAATTGTGCCGGTTCTGGGCTCCCCCACTTTCTGCACGATTTGAGGCGCGGCCGAGTCGATAGTGCCCGCGAACTGTGTAGGTAAATTTGAAAACGCATCACCACCACAGTTCGCGGGCACTATGGACTCGTCCGCGCTCGCCGCGGCCGCGCCCCAAATCGTGCAGAAAGTGTGGGAGCCCCGGTTCTGCACTGCCAAGAAAGCCAGATGCGCATTGTCGTCAACGCCTTGTAGCGCCATTTTTGGCCAATCGATCTCCCCTCAAGTGAAAAACGAATTTTGGGTAAAGAATAGCAAATTTTCACTCTGTTCAGCGTTACGTGTGAGGTCGAGTTAGCCCTGGGATCAATAAATGTAGCGTTAGTACGTTAGGACAAACCCGTTGCGATCCCTTCTTAAACTGGTGTCAGTCTGCGATCCCTCGCAAGTTTCGCTGATTTTCGCGATTTGCGCGAAACCTGCGACGGATCGCGGACTCCGACACCGGCCTCAAACTCTTTGTAAAGGCACATATAATCAAGCGATGATGAATTGGGAATTCTTTCTTTGAAGGCCCGGCGATCTGAAATACATTTCCTGTTATTTCTCGAAGATTACAATTGTTATTATCCCATGGTACCAAATTCTGTCTATTCATGAAGCTTTAGGCTCCCAGACAATACCTAACCATATGAGCGCGGCCGCGTCGAGCGCGGCCGACTCGATTGTGCCCGCGAACCGTTGAAAACGCACTCGAGGTGCCCGCGAACTGTGCTGTGCTGAGTTCGCGAACTGTGCTGTGCTGACCTACCAACTCTACCGCGTTCGCCGCGGCCGCGCCCAAATGGTTAGGTATTGTCTGGGAGCCGAAGCTTTACCTATCACCATTGTTAAAGGATTGTGTCGGTCTTTGCGATGTTTGACATATGCTAATGTGCATGTTCAGTGATGTGCAGACCGGTTGATTGCTACGAGTTTTTGTGTGTTTGTGTGCGTTTTTTTGAATCATGCGTATCTTAGCGACGTTTTTAGGCGGCACCGAGCACTAGCCGGGATGAGCAACGTTTGGCGAGCAGCTCTAGCGGTACGAATTATTCAAGCATGGCGTACACTGGTTTACATGGGGTTTCCACACCTACAACACCGGTTGTTCCTACAGGCAATCTTCTCGACGCATAGATTTGAAGGATTGCCATTTGGTGGAATAGCTAATGTGTAATGTAGCTGATGTAGTTCATACTTATCAGTGTACCACCGCAAATGTTTGGGAAGTCGCTGGTCGCTGATGTAGTTCATACTTATCAGTATACCACCGCAAAGTGTTGCGGTTTATCTCTATTTATGAAGATCAAAATTTTTCTAAAATTCTGTTTGTGATGTCATGTGTTCTTGTGTGTTATCTCCGTAATTGCGTGTGTCTATATTGTTTCTCGCTCTATTTCTTTCACAATTTACTACTCTTAAGCAAATTTTTTTCGTCTTTTTTCCGTTGTGGTGTTTAAAACTTGAGAATTCTTTTTTTTGTAATATTCGTTCCCTCACCTAAAAAAACACCCTTAATCGCCACATGCGTGCTGTTTTGTTCGTGATTCTCTTTTTTATATAAGGCAACTGTACATTTCCTGACTAGAGAGAGCCGCTGCTAACCTTCATTTTCCCCCCTTGCATTTTATTGGTAGTGTCACATTAATTTCTTTGGTTGAGGACGAGGTATCCTCTCTCAAGTATTCTACTTTCCCTGACCCATCTATGCATGTCATATCATCAAACATAAATCGTGCGAGTTATTTTTCCCGTGAACCTATCCTGTGGGAGTTCCAATAAATATTTTTTCAAATAAATATCCTTTTGATCCCTGAAGGCTTGCCTTGGGAAAGCAGTGTATTGAACAGTGTCGTGTTAAAGTATATGTTAGTATACCCTTTCTTTCAAAAAACGTGAAGAGCGTCGGGTGCAGACCATACACCAGAAATGACGATGGCTTCCAAGAAATGTAAGGTTCACGCGTAAAGATCAACATCCCATTGGGTGAAGATAAGCATGAGTGTAGGTGCGTGGGGGTAAATCAAAGTTACAAGGGCCCGAAGCGTGCGGAAAACTTCAGTGACAGAAACTGCAAGGATAGTGACGACATGTCAGACATGACGCGATTAAGGCTCGCAGCGGCCTTGGACTAACAATATGAGTGCATGGCGCACCTCAGACCAGCAGTAGTTACAGGAAACCGATCCATATTCAATTGGCAGCCACAAATATTACTATACTAGGGAATTCGATTTCAGGTCAACGTAAGTAAGAGAAAAACAACAACTGAGGTGGGCTGACTCAGGGGTTTAGAAGGAAAGTTTAGGAAAAGAAAAACTTGTGAGATAGCGACTTTTAAAGAAGAGTCAGACAAAAACTTTTATGAAGAGCAAAGTCCGCATTCCTCGCAAGAGTGTGAATCGTATGTGAAAACTACAAAATCAGTTTTGAAGGAAATCGTATCACTTAAACGTTGAAAACCCCCGTTTTCAGGAGAATAGCCGAGAAACAAATAAATATAGAAAGAAGAGCCGACGAGATTTCTGACGCGACCAATCGGTTCGAATACTTATTACGAAACTCTAGGCTCGCATTTTCTAAGCGAGGTAAAGAAACGCAAAAAGTTGTATACCAATTTACAAGCCTAAAAACTGGCTCCCAGACAATACCTAACCATTTGGGCACGGCCGCGTCGAACGCGGCCGAGTCGACTGTGCCCGCGAACCGTTGAAAACGCACTCGAGGTGCCCGCGAACTGTGCTGTGCTGAGTTCGCGGGCACCTATCAACTCGGCCGCCTTCGCCGCGGCCGCGCCCAAATGGTTAGGTATTGTCTGGGAGCCCTAAAAACTCGCACATGCACAGACAACGGATCAGCTGGAGATTTTTAGGAGAGATGAATATTCATAAAACTCTGAGGCTTTTTTGAGGGGAAACAATTTAGAAATTCCTAATTTCCTTACCACTCCTCACAATTTCATATTTGGAAAGATTAAGACCTCTAATGGAAGAAGTGTGTAATTCTATAAAAGTAAATTCTCCACTTCATAACAAACACGACCTTCAGGATACTGCACAATCTTTATAGTTTCTCGAAACTAGCGGTCCCGAGATTATGAATTTACCTGAAAACTTTTAAAATTTGAAGTCTGAAGAGAATGACACTCATTGGAAGATCAGAGCCCTAGTGTGCAATACCTTTGACAAGGACGAGGTTGGTAAAATAGCATAGCTTCTTAACAACTATATGGAATTTGATGAAAATATGCGGACATGATGCCAAAAGTCTCCCATTCATGCGTGGTATGCTGGACCCCTTATATCATGCGGTTCAATCTAGAGTCAAAACGGCTGGACACGTTACACGAGCGGGGCGATGCAAGGAAGGATAGTGTATTTATTCATTGTGGGCTGTAGTGGTGTTATTCATCACACCAATCTCCACAGATAACATCAGGGTGATTTAACACGAGCAAGAATCATTGGGAAACTAGATGAAAGAAGATGTAGTACGATTGCACTCGCTTGGTATTGCTCACAGCATTGCCTTTTCTACATACGGAGAGAGATGAACCACAACCGCTGTTGCCAAAGAAGAGGAGGTGTCATGTCAATCATGGTAAATCGCAGCACAATTGATCGTTACGTTCATAACAGGCAAGGATGGAGCCACGTCAGTAGCCGGTTGCAGTTGCACATTTATCAGGATTGTGAGGCACGCATTCCAGACCGAACAGTGGCACAGTGACTGTATAGGGAGTCTCTGTTCGAGAAATAGTACCTGGTATTCCGCTGAAACCCTGTATTGGTGTGAACATTTGTTAGGACCGAAACCTTGAGAGTATACCAACAATTAGTAAAATCGCGTGACCTAATCAGGAGCAAATTGAGTATGAGCAGTGATTCTGGACTCGCCCGCAGATGACAAAGTAGGAACAAGTTATGCACCCAGGAACATTGTCGACATTATTGCTTTGATATTCAGGCGATATGATGTGAAGACGCACAAGGTTGCCTGAGCGTACTGACCTCCATTGTCTGGAGTCCATACTCGTGGTCACGTAACATTTCCCGGTTAAACTTTTTGCGATGGTGAGCTCGTTTCTAATGTGCCCCTATTATGGAGCTCGACCTCAACTTTATTTTTATAAATGACAGTGTACAAGTGCACCGAAACCAAGATGGAGAACTCTTGAAGGGAAAGGATATCTGGCGCTTGGTTGAGCCTGCCTTTTCCTCTACTTAAATCGCATCGACACGCATGAAATGCATTTGGAAGAGCTTTTGCAGCACACACAAATGCGCCAACTGCACAGCAATGGTCGAATGTGATGTTTGAGGAATGGAGCGCTCTTTGAAGACCTGTTTACAATTTTGTGGCTAGTAGAGGAGCATGTAGTTTGTGGTGCGTAGTGCTTACGCACCTTGTTAAGAACCATTCCTGCCTCCTGAAGACTCACCATGGAATGGAGACCCTTCTTCCATCAACCGCTTCAACCAATGTCTTTGGAGGTAGCCTCACTTCTGTCCTTCTCAGTGCGTGTTTCTGTAATCTCCTGTGGTGTAGTGTAGGGTCATTCCCTCCTAAGTAAGCTCCAAACTTGATCACGCTAGGGTACTTAACAACGAGATATCATACAAAAGTTACATTACGTCTCCAAGTTTTGCACACTAGTGTAGTTCGTGCCGCTCCCTTTCCTGCAGAGTGGAGGAAGGATTGTGCGGGCCAATGCAAAGCATGCAACGTGGCTGAGCGCAAATTTTACTCTCGCGTTTCAACTTATTTCAGATTACCTTTATCTTTCTTTCCTTTCAGGTTTCTGTGTTATTTAATGAGGATTTGTGGGCACTATTTACCCTTCACTGCCCCACTCCTCGAAAACCGGGCCGGATTTTTATCGAAATTTGTCCATGACTGTGGATTCGGCTAGAAATTTGTCCTCAGGGGTAATTCGACCGGTAGAACACGAATATCACATTCGTTTATCGCTAGAAGCACGGCGCTCGCGGCAAAAGGCGCCAGAACACCTCGGATCACCGAATTTGCTGGAATGTCTTCAGAGGTATTTTGTCCCGTAGGACATGAATATCACATTAGTTCGTTACGAGTGTGCCTGTAGCCTGCGCTATGGGCGCCCGCGCAAAACTGTTGTGATAGCGCCAGCGCCTGTGGAGCGAGCGCCAAGCATAGTCGCGCTAAATCGGTGTGATACTCGTGTTCTTCGGGCCAGAATACCCCGAAAACAATTTTGTAGCCAAATCGTCAATCATGGATGAACCTCGATCAAAATCTCGCTCAGTTCTTGTGGAGTGGGGCAGTGAAGGGTAAATAGTGGCGATTTGTGCTTTCTTTAGCTTTGATTACTTCTCTTTCGTCTGATTATATAGTCTGTTTGCAGTGCTTTGTGTTTTTCAGTGCATGGTGCGCTCTGCACACACAATAATTGCTAATGGGGAATGATTGTATCGGAACTCTGTGGGAGGGAAGGGGGTCGTAAATTTCTAAAACTGGACTACGCGACGGTTGGCCCTGCCACATCCCATGCCATATCGTTACGAGATTGAGATGCCGACGTAAAGGTATGCCGATTTGCGGGAATCGCTTTAAGCGGCTCTGGCATGCAACATATTCCAGTTCAATGGAAAATACAGCAGGGTGGCAAGCAGGGTGAATATCGGTCGAGGAAATCCTCGACAGGGGGGTCGTACCTGTTGGGCTGGTCCATGGGGGGTCGTACTCTTGCGGGTCAGTAACAGAAGGGGTATCATGGTGCACATAGGTAATAGGGTATAGCGCAGCAGAAAATGAAAACATCCGAAAAAAACATGATATTAAGTTTTCTTTGCAGGTTCAGTCGCTCCATTCCTCCACCTTCATGAGAAGGGCGTATTTGAAGGCAGTACAGAAAATGAAGGTGCACCCCCGCAAAGAAGACTGCCACATGTGCGCACGCGCTGCAAAGGCACCTCCTTTGCCTATCGCTCGCTCCTTCTCCCTTAATACCTTGCTGTGAATGACGCTGTTGTGGACCCTGTCGGAAAAACGACAACCGTGAAGAAAAAGCGCTGGGCAAATGATGTTGTTTTTTAGCTTACAGCAATAGCACAACACACTATGTCTACTAAAATACAGTTTCGTTCGAAGGTCCTCATCAT